TGACCGCCCAGCGGCCGCGCCAGGCCACGACACACGCAGCGGCCCGCCTCTGAACACGTGGACAACACGTCCAGGGTCTGACACTGGAATCGGTGGTGGCACGGCTCGCCGAGCCGACTGAACGCGTGACACCGGCCCTGGAGCTCGACGAACCCCGGCCGGCAGCGGCAGCGGGGTGCGTCCAGTGCCTCCAGGTCACAGCGCTCCTCAGCGCCGCTACAGTGGATACTGGAGCCACACGGCTCGTGTAGGCCGCGACTCAGCGGCCAGAGGGTCAGCGTCAGCGCGGCCGTCAGATGCATGGCGCTCCGAGTGGTCCTTGAACCCTGACCAACACCTTGAGCTGAGATGGACCACTAGTGAGCTGCGCACGCCGCGCTGTCCGTGATATTTCGTGGCCTCCAAAGCAGGTCACGTCTTGTACGGAGTATGCGGAGTCGTCGCGTTATTCGTCGACCTCAGTTGACGAGCTCGCTGCTTAATAATGCAGACGTTGTAGAAATCGGCTGCCTGACGAGTTTTCCCTTCAAAGCCCCTTGGACAGTGGACTCGACTCTCTCCCTTGCGCAGTTGCTCCAATGTTTAATTCTGAAGAGGCCTCCGGTATTTCCACACTCTGAAGATAACGATCAGGTTGAACAAAGCAAACAGCTTCGTGAAGGGATCACCCTCTAGTGTCAGTGTTCGTCGAGGGTCGCACTGGCTGCGGGCCTCAATGCTGCGCACATCATAGACTCCGACGACTTCAATTTACATTTACGGGACAGTGCACTATGTGGAGTCATGACGTCGCCGGTCGATTTGCGTTTCAAAACTTCAGACGCCTGCCCAGCCACCTGCCGCTATTCTCGGCGAGATCCCAGGACCCAGCAGTGGGGACTCAATGTGAGGCGTCATCGGGTACAGGCTCATGGTCATCTGACACGCTTTAAATTGCCAACGAGCTTCTCGTCAATCGGGTTCATCGGAAGAGTTTCGCATGGATCAGGGCTGACAGCTCCCAAGAATAGGCCAACACTTCTTATTCAGTCAGATACGAAATGTTCTGTTGATGCAGGTTGGGTCACACTTGGGCTGCGTTGTCGAAACACAGACCAAACTCATTCTTCAGCTGGACGTTCGTCGCGATTTTTTTTTAAGAAATAAAGATCGGATCGTTCTCACGCTTTGACAGTCAGTCACTTCCGAGGTTCTTGACGGGTGCTAGATCGACATCACCACATCACTACTCTTACTCTGGATATTAACAACACGTTCACGCCTGGTCTTGTCACAACGCTCACATCACGTCACGTCACACCATCAGCCGTGACGTCGCGTCCTTCGTCACGTCACAGTACACACGGACCGTGTCCTGAGGCGACCGCCAACTGTTTCACCGGCTCTACCGGTCCGCCGCCGCGAGCGACTGTCCGTGCTGACGTCACAGTAGCGTTTCCATGTCAACAGTGGCGACACATCGATTAACTAACTGCACCCGCCGTCAGGAATACAGCGGCGCCGACACGACAAAAGGCGTGATCGGCTCGCCAGGACGGGTGTGAGCGGAAATCCGTTCATAACACGGTTTGTTTGTGATCGGGATACTCACTGTTCAGCTGTGACGAGCGAGGTATGCCTAGGTTTATGCAGGGGTGACAGGCACGAGCAGGGGCGGCGGATTCGGGGGGGGGCAGGGGGGGCAGCTGCCCCCCCTGGCAAACTCGTGGGGGGGCAAAAGTATCTTTTTGCCCCCCCCCCATAATTTGTGACAAAGCTTAGACAAGAAACCATGTACCTGATTATTCTGTTCGATCATCTGAAGATGTAACCAGATGCCCATATACTTTATCATACGTTGCCTTTCTTAAATGGCAAGCGTTCACGTTCAATTAAAGTTTTCCTCTCTTCAACCTAGTTTTGGAGGCATTATAAGCGTCAACGTGACGCAGTGGAAACCCAGACCTTCAGTGACCGCTTACAGGGGCGACGGATACGGGGTGGCAGAGGAGGCATCGTTCCCTAAGAAACTTTTGGAGGAGGGGCAAACGTATATTCTTGCCCGTCCATAATTTGTGCCCTAAACATGAGGAAAATTTCCATAACATGATATTGTAGCTATGCGCTCCTACAGTTTGTCCAACGGTGCCTTTTGAAATATGTGTAAATGCTAAACATTTCCGCTTTGTATCATTTTGTTTTTGTCTTTTCAGATTCGATTTATAGATGTGTGCAAGAGACGCAACTCATACCTTCAGTGGTCGTTTGCCTCTATTTTGTACCTACATAAATGCCAAATCGCAAGCGAGCGGAGTCGGAAGGGCTAGCCATTCGCTTGCGGGTAGTTAGGCCTGATGAGCGCTCATAATAAGCCACTCCCCCATGATTTCTTCGAGCGCAACAGTTTCCAGCGCATAAAATGGTAAACGCCGAGGTCGTACACATTGACGACATTGACCAATGCACGGTATGGTATGACACCCAAAGGCCAGTCATCAGAGATCTGTTTGGGCATTCGGAGGCTTGTGTGGGGCCAGTGTAAAAACTGGATGTTCACAGTTCAGTATCCGCTTTATTTCAGTTTTCACTATTAAAAAAGTAAAAATTAATGTTGGAAACTTTTGAGGGTTAAGGCACTGATCATTAGCGGGCCCCCCTCTGTCTAAAGGCTGGCTATAGAATAAAGAGCATCAAACACGAACAGTAGCGGCGGAACACCTTTAATTAAGGGGGGGCTGCCGACTTTTGGTCCCATTCTTTCCATGCAACGTGCCCTCCCCGTTCCGCCGCCTATGAACACGAAAGCGAAATCTGAGGCATTTTGGAAAAATGAGTATGCCCCGCAGCGTCCGATAACTACCACCTTCCAGTGCAGTGGGTCAAGCCAACAAGGCCCAAGTCTATAATGTCTAACGATAGCACTAACCTTGTCTCACTTTTTGTTGAAGTCTGTTCCGAATGGTTTCGGCCACAGACTGGCTGCAGTGAGGTCGTTTGGTATGTGCGACTGTAATTAAAGCCACCTGAGGCACCCTGACACCAGGCTGAAGCTGGATTGGAAATGCTTCGTCTTTGCAGATATCACTGGCCGCTGATTCTCGAGTGCCTGAATCGGTAGATGTCGTGGCAAAATTTGGTGGGATAATTTGGCCCTTACCGCAGTCAGCGCACCCTTAAGCCCTAATAAAGAAACGCCCTACCCAGAGCTTCTGGATTCTCGTTCCAGTCCACCGTTCCTTCACCCCAGCCCACCGCCACGCTCCCTCACCTCAGCCCTCCGTTCCCAGCTTGACGAGCATTTGGGCCTTAGTTAAGCCTTGCTGTAGGCTAACTATATAAACCCATCGAGACAGCCCGTCTCGGTGAGCTTAGTTGGCGAACTACATACTGCCTTGGGGAGGGTTTCTGGCGGATCGCTGTCCCAATATGTTTAGATGCGACCGACTGTCTCTGAATGTTTGAGCGGTCCCCTCCAGCTGTGAGCTAGTTTCAGTTGACATCTGTCTCAGAAATACTTTTTAAAGGAAGGTTAAACGGAAATCGAACGTAAAATGAACAGAGGAAACGGTAACGAGTTACCTCACTGCTCGGGGTTACATGAGCAGAGTTAATACGCATTACAAACGGACTACAATGGTGAGCGAATAGGAAAATCCGTTCCTGATACGCATTTACTTGCTCATGTAACCCCGGTAATTGAAGAATAGCGCTTACCTACTTCAAAAGGTTTGTACCCGTTCTTCAACATCTAATATGCGATCGGGTTATGGCACAACTTTTCCCATTGGAGCTTTTTTCTAATACAGCAATACGAAAAGCGTTACATCGTCCACTGGCGAATCCAGGGAGCGGGCATTTAAAGCAAATATTTACTCCCCCTCCCCTGGCCCCTGCATCGCCCGAAATAGACAAAACGTACCTTATGTTTCCTAATAATAACACTTTTATCAGGATTATTTTTTTTTTTGCTTTATATGTACTGTTCAGCAGTAGATCCGTAAGGAATCGGAATCCGAGGAGTTTTTGGATTTTGGACACTTTTTTTTGGGGGGTATGTCCCCTACAGCGTCGAAAACGCCTTTCTGGATCCGCCTATGACATCATCTCGACTGGGATCTTGCCCCCCCCCCCACGCCAAAATCGAATCCGCCGCCACTGGGCACGAGCATATGTAGTCATTTTTATTGCTACACAGTGCACATGTTCGCTGACTTTTGAGGCACATACTCAAAGAGCGAGTTCTGTTTCGGTATTACATGTCAAGCAAGCCGTATGTTGTGATCTCGTCAAAGTCGGATGAGACGCGACATCACACTATACTAACTCATGCTGCAGGTTTACCTATTGATTTGCGTCCGGCGGTCACCAAAGTATAGAAGGAAGCAGTTACCGAACGTTTAGGTACTTGTGCTTCTGGCACGGCTCATAAGCCTAAATGGAGCTAAAGGCACCACGTCTGAGCACGTGTTTATTTTATCATCTTAGTATGTCTACAATAGGTTAGTAGGTGCTTATTTGTCTACAAACATCGAACAGTGATCGTATCTGGTAGGTGGCAGCATCCCGTCAATTCATTCGTCTCAATACAGTGCCATCCTTGTCATGAAAGAAGTAGGTACACGCGATCGAATAATGCAGCCATCACCTCCTCACCCCCCCCCCCCCCCCCCACACCCACATCCAGACCCACACAATAAATGACTGCCCTGCTGCAGGCGCTAAAGAAAGAAGGAAGAAGTCCATCTCTTTTTAATATTGAAATAAAGTGACTTGTTATAAAGTGAAAGTTTTATGCGATTCATACCCATTTACCTAATATAATTAAATAAATTTTCATTGATTGTCTCCATCAATAACTTGTTTAATAATCTACCTAAATTCATTCATAATACGGTTGCTATTCATGACAATATACTTAATCTCATTTCCAGACAGATAATTAACTTATGACACCAAACGAAGGCATATTCTCACCGTGGTTGACATGAGCCCGAGAATAGATTAGCGAAAACACCTTTATGTATATTATCAAATGGTTTATTAAATCCACACAATAAAGCAATTTCATTTACCCTTAGCTTTGTAGGTATTCGTAGTTTATTATTACCTAATATCTAGGTACTCGTTCTTAGAGATGTGATTGCTTTGCATTGGCATAGGTATAAAAAGCTATGCACAGAGTATTGTAATACCAAGTCCTAATCTACCTATGTCTACATTCATTGTTCAAGAATATAATGCACAATGTGGCTGAACGTTTCCTCTGGTTACGGCCACTGGCCAGCCACTGCCTACTAAAACAAAAATTAAACGGATAGTAGCGCTTAGAAAATCATAACTGATAACCTATTAACGCTTGTTTCCTTTCTAATGACGTTGAACACTTAACACTGGGAGTATCTATGAGTATTGCACATCATCTATTGCGTAATTCACGAAACGGTAACTTGTGCTAGCCGTGAAGATTGGTATAAGCGTTATGTTCAGCGCAATGCTGCGTGCATGTTTTTATTTATTTTTTACGTTATTTACGTAGGCACTTATCAAGCAGCCTTCACTTATGAGTATCGTGAACAATATCGACAATATCGACGCTATGCTCTGACCCTACATAATGCTCTGAAATGCTATTTGTACGGCTTGATGGTCATTGTTATCGACATGAAAATTAAGTGGCTCAACAAAACGAACTGCAACCATTCACTGTGACTCCAAGTAGGTAGGTACTCTGTGTTACTGTCATCGACCGTTGAACTTGTCGCAACACTTATCGCTTCACATTTATCGACCACAGGTCACGTCGTCCCTCTCAATCACTGAGGCAGTCCATCTCTCACGATCGACCTCCCTACGACCCCCACCTTCCTCCATTCACAATCGCCACCAGCTGCGCCACTACCACTGCGATCAGCGGCGAGCAGGGCGGCGCGGCGGCGCTGCGGCCGCGAACCGCCGCCAATCTGTACTCCTCCTCCTGGTGCTGGTGTGGGTGCTGGTGGCTGCTCGTACCGCTCTCGGTGCTGAGTAGTACGGTACGCCCGTACCGTCGCTGTGGAGGCCGGTAGTTGGCGCCGATCGGGGCCGGTCCGCCGCGCAGAGAACGGAACAGAGACATCTGAGGGTAGAGGGAGAGGGAATGGTTGAAAACAGCGCACTTAGACAGAATGGCTGAGGATAACAGGGACTCGAAGTTTAACATAGTTACTTTGTCTCACATAATAGTGAATTATATGCGCTAATACGAGCGCAAGCGCAAATAATACCCAGAATGAACTTCAAAGGCACATTCAAAGTCGTTGGTCAATTGAACCAGCGCTGGAAGGCAGACTACCGCCGAATACCAACCACTGGAAGGTAAACTGTACCGCCGAACAGCCACTGAAAGGCAGACTGTGCCAGGCACGTAGCTAGGATTTGGCCAAGGGAGGGGCGGAGGAATCCCGGGGGCCTCCTTTCTACAGAGGGCCTCCTCCCTAAAGGGCCGGGCCTCCTTTCTACAGAGGGTTTCATGCCTACATAATTACATATACAACATAATGCAGACTTTTGTTCAGCTTTCATATGGCCAGCGCACTGGTATGTTTCTTTATTCTTACTGCTGTCGCGGTAAGAGACATACGCATATCACAAGTCTCCGAGTGGCATGGTAACTGGCAAAAAAAAAAAACTCGGGCGCCGGCGGCGGCCGGACCGCAGCAGGAGGGGGAGGATCTGCGAGGAATGGGTGGATACCGGATGACGGTCAGAGTACCTAACACTTAGTGTATTATCATATGTCGTTCAAGCGCTTAACCGTATTCCGGGCGGGCTCTGAAAGACTCTGAATCGGGCGGGGGCCTTTTTGGCCCCCGTCAGAACTCGAAAAGCACGAATCGTAGCGACAAACGGCAACGGCGTTTGATAGTTCGTTGAACGACTTTCAACTTTTGTAAACAACTTTTTTGGGTCAGGTCAATATTGAGGTCGCCAGAGGTCATAACAAATAACATGGTTTATAACGACCTACATAGATAGGTCAACTTTAAAATCTGATCTAGGAAGGTCACGCTGGGTACCAATCGGCGCGTCATGACCAGGCGAACGGTTTGGTACACTAACAACTATTTAGCCCCATCATGTCGTGATTTATTGGCTAAAAACTGTTGATGACCTCACCTCACCTCAGATGATCCTTCCCGGTTCCCCTGTCAGTAAATGCCACCTGGGTGCTTACAGATCAGATAATCTGGTTTCAGATAATGGTTTCATTAGTAAATTTTCCTAGGTCCAGGTGGTTGCTTCATTTACGCCGTAGATGAAACAAACAATCGATGGATAGGTATATATTAATTTCCCGGTCAAATAAATTATTATGAGTTGTGCGAAGCATGGCTATGGGAATATCACCACGGTCTGATAAATGGTTTGGGTAATTGCATCCATCGTAAAAATACCAACACAGCCACAGAGGGCTTCCTCTCTACAGATTGCCTCTTATCTACAGAGGGCCTCCTCTCTGCTGAGGGTGTCTTTCTCTCCAGAGGGCCTCCTTTACAGAGGGCATCCTCTCTACAGAGGGCCTCCTCTCTAGTCTCTACAGGGACCTCCTCTCTACAGAGGGCTTCCTATCTATGTAGGGCCTCCTCTCTTCAGAGTCTCGTCTCTACAAAGGACCTCCTCTATACCGAGGACCTCATCTCTGCAAAGGGCCTCCTCTCTTCAGAGGGCCTTTACTCTACTGAGGGCCTCCTACCTACAGAGGACCTCCTTTCTACTGAGGGAGTCCTCTTCTACAGAGGGCCTCCTCTCTTCAGACGATCTCCTCTCTACAGAGGGCCTCCTCTCTACAGAGAACCTCCTTTTTACAGAGTGCCTCTTTTTTACAGAGTGCCTCTTTTTTACAGAGGGCCTCCTTTTTGCAGAGGGCCTCCTCTCTACAGGGGGTCTCCTCTCATAAGGGGGCCTCCTCTCTACACAGGGCCTCCTACCCACAGAAGGCCTCCTCTCTACTGAGGAGTCAGAGGGGCCCTAGCGGTCAGACACAGACACTAGTGGACGTGGTTATTCACAGGAGATGAGAAGGCCCCTAGTTGTCACTTGTCAGGCTGGTCAGAGGGCCCTGATTGTTCTGACGTCATTTGTTAGATTCCCGGGTGAATTTCGTTCGCCTCCGACGTGATTTTGGCCAACGTGAGCCGAAGCCCCACGTTGGATTCAGGCCGAAGAATCCTTTCGGGGGGCCTCCTGAAAACCCCAAGGGAGGGGCGGGCGCCCCCTCCGCCCCCCCCCCCTTGGCTACGTCCGTGGACTGTGCCGCAAAACCAACCACTGAAAGGTAGACCGTACCGCCGAACACTGCTGGAAGGTAGACTGTACCGCCAAACACCAACCGCTGCACTGGAAGGTAGGTAGACTGTACCGCCAACAACCACTGGAAGGCATATTGCACTGCAAAACCAACCACTGAAAGGTAGGCTGTACTGCTATACACGAGCCACTGAAAGGTAGACTATACCGCCAAACACCAACGTTTGGAAGGTAGACTGTACCGCCTAACACCAACCACTGGAAGGTAGACTGTACCGCCGAACACTGCTGGAAGGTAGACTGTACCGCCAACAACCACTGGAAGGCAGACTGTACAACCAACCACTACTGTACTGCAAAACCAACCACTGAAAGGTAGGCTGTACTGCTATACACGAGCCACTGAAAGATAGACTGTACCGCCAAACACCAACCACTGAAAGGTAGACTGTACCGCCGAACACCGCACTTATCGCTGGAAAGAGCGGCGTGTCCGCACTTTCCCTGGGTCCATGTGACTTCACCTCTCACCTCACCTCAGTTCACCTCTCACCTCACCTCGGTTCACCTCTCACCCCAGTCCCCAGTTCACCTCACCTGGCTGGCCGAGACGCGCAGAGTTTGTGTGAAGACGGTCCAGGTGACCGCCTGGTGGCATCCGGGGGTGGTCAGCGAGCCGCGGTACCGGAAAAACTCTCCGGTGTTCCACGGCAGCAGGCGCGCCAGTCGCGGCGGACGGAGCACCGCGGTCGCGGCGCCGCCTGCCGTGATGTTCTGCAGGGCCGACTCCAGACTCCGCAGAGCCAAACCCTTCCAGTCGCCGACCTGTCGGTAGCCCAGCGGGAAGTTTAGTGGGTACCTACAGGTGTTGGGTGCGATGGTGATCACTGATCTACCTACTGGCCGCTATTTATGGTAACTCAAGCTGATCGCAACCCTTGTACCTAGAAATAAACGCTGGAAGATAATTAGCTTCAAAATATATTATCTTTCTGATAAGATGTATTTCAAAGCCCAAAGGTAACAACAATGTTGAAACTCGAACTTATCTGACAGTGCCAAACGTTGGAAAAATGTTCCGTACCCGCCCCCCCCCCCCCTCCCTTCTCGGTCGGCGCGTATGTAGAAAACCAATAGGTCCGGCGAGGGTTAAATATCTCCCAAATCACACAAGTTGTAAGTACCAGATATCCTTGAAATTAACAATGAGGAAAAAGGTTAACATTTATTCGCTTGTATCATGCTTGTACAGGGTGGGCCAAAAAAAGTGTGTCACTTTTCAGCGGCTATTTCTCGAAAGTGGTAAGAGATACCAAAACGAAACTTTCACAACTTAATGAAAATCGTTTGACAAATTATATGATACCCATTTTATGAAAAAGTCTTAGTCGAACTGATGTTGCCATCACCATTTCAAAAATGGGATATGTGCGTCTTTTATGTTTGCGCATGTGCTCGAAGTGGGCACCGCCAAGCTGAAGGCCATCTGAACGCGCTCCGGAAGCTGACGCCCACCTCTCCGCGGTATCTGCTGTCACTTCACGCACGTATGTACTGCTCGACGCTGACACGCAGCTCCTCCAGGCTACCGGGTTTGTTGTGGTAGACGCTGTCGCTGTCCTTGCAGGCTCCCCAAAACCAGTAGTCCAGCGGGTTGAGGTCAGGTCTGTGAGGAACCCACTGCTTTTCGCTTCCCTTGGTGATCACGCTACAAGCTTTGTTCATGCAAGATGTAGCGCCACCGCACACGGCCCGAGAGACACTGCAGCTGCTCCAAGAGCTCTTCGGTTGCCGCGTGATCTCCAAGGGAAGCGAAAAGCAGTGGGCTCCTCACAGTCCTGACCTCAACCCGCTGGACTACTGGTTTTGGGGAGCCTGCAAGGACAGCGACAGCGTCTACCACAACAAACCCGGTAGCCTGGAGGAGCTGCGTGTCAGCGTCGAGCAGTACGTGCGTGAAGTGACAGCAGACACCGCGGAGAGGTGGGCGTCAGCTTCCGGAGCGCGTTCAGATGGCCTTCAGCTTGGCGGTGCCCACTTCGAGCACATGCGCAAATAAAGAGACGCACAGATCCGGTTTTTTAATACGATGATGGCAACGTCAGCTCGATCGAAATTTTTCCATAAAATTGGTATCATATAATTTGTCAAACGATTTTCTTTAAGTTGTGAAAGTTTCTTTTTCGTATCTCTTACCACTTTCGAGAAATTACTGCTGAAAAGTGACACACTTTTTTTGGCCCACCCTGTATTATGTATGCTCCTTGTTCAAGCACTAAACAGATTAAGAAATCTCCCAAATTAATCAGAAAAGGACATTTGTGTACGACCTTATTGAGACGTGGCGTAAAGAATACGTCTTGCCCAGATAAACTTGCATTCTTTGATTGCAAAGTCAAGTCAATATCCCGTATTGGATGACAAAGATGACAAAACCTGCTGCTTGCGAGTCTCTGTCATGTATCAGCCATCTAATGTTATGCCAGGTCACTGCATATGCTTGCGGCAGAAATTTGGGCTCTTGGCTGCCTCTCATCTGATCAAAGCAATGTAGGTACTCGACTGTATGTCATTTTCTATTGATTTATTATCGAAGCGTAAGTGAAGATTCCAAAGCTCATCTTCGCAGCGGCCTATGCATGTGACATTTTTTCACTGAAACCGACCCGACCTGGCAGCTGGCACGGCCGTACTCGCTCACTGAAACTGAGCATGAGCTCATCTTCATATGATAATTTCAAACCAACACCGGTCTATTTTTAGTGGCTAGGGTGACACTGCAGCTGTCGATCTGATTATCCTGAGGCGATGGTGGAGGACAGGGAGGGGCACACACTGGTGAGCCGCATACCGATGGTCCTCTGACCTTCCAGACGATGGAGCGGCCCGTGCCTTCTGCCACGACCAGTGATGAATGCCGCTCTGATACGGGCGATACGGCGTCCGATGGCCTTACAGTGAGGGACGGGCAACGTCCGTATAGACATCAGACTCTCTCTGGGAGTCCCGCTGTAGGATAGAAGGCAGGAGCCTCACCACACTTCAAAGGTCAGAATTTAGAGGCCTTGTCCGAGGACAGGATTCAGGTTCCTCCCATTGAACTGGGAATGGGCTCCGCCAAATAACTCAATTTATAGGAGCCCGGGTAAAAAAAGCAGTTCCTCACTGTGTTTCCCTGTGGGAGATTTAAGAATTCCTGCAGTACCCAGACTTCAGACTTGTTGGCTGCAATATGTTGCAGGTCCTTTTTCGACGTTTTAGTTACAGCCTACAGGTGATTTTCTCGAATAGTGTCTCATAACTCCCCCATTCACTTACCTCGTACATGACTCCCAGGACGGCGAGCCCGTCGGGATGTCGGACTGCCGAGCTCACGTTGGCGTATTTTGTGTTCTTGCAAACAATGTGCATTTCCAACGGGTAACTGAAAAAGAATAGAGTTTCACCCGTCTGCAGTTAAAAGATTTGTTCTTATAATCATTTTCCAGCATTTCAAACGAAGGCTGCTTATTCGTAGCTTAAGCTAAAGGATTATATAATCCTAATTTTGATGAATACAAATTACGCCATTTCTTTGACTTAAAATGTTTCTGGGAACCGGTCATCATTGCAAATTGCAATCATTGCAAATCGCAACTGCAATTTATTGCAGTTGCCTTACCTTTCTCCGTCTATGGTATGCTCCGAGCCCTTGAAGTCATCCTCTCCCCAGTGGAAGTGGAAGTTTATCACCTCGTATTGTCCAGGAAGTCCACCATTCTCAATTACTGGCGTCTTCTCCCACGTCATTTTGGCGGTCGCTGAAAGTGGAAACGAACAAGTAATTCGTAAAAAAAAAAATTAACTGGAGGCGGCAAATGCACACATAATGAGCAGACTATCACGAACAACGATTCATACAACAGTGCTTTGAGTTGGTTGGTATCACTTATGTCATTAAAAGCATTATGGGAAGGAGAGAAAATCTCAAAGAACCATCGTCTCTGCTCACCGGAGTGATAGTTGTTGGCCAGTGTGAGCGTGAGCGGCGTCTGGTCAAAGTGGCGGAATATGATGGGCGGCAGTCGGGTCACCGCTACCCGGTCGGTGACCACGTTAATGGGCGACTGCCGCTGACCGGCACACAGCGGGTAGCCCAGCGTCGGCCACCGGTCGGGACCTATAGGGAGCAGTCGGAGTTAGAACAGGGCACACAGCAAACAACAATTTTCGAATCCGGGATTCGAATCCCCGTACAGCCCAAATCTTTAACGAGTTTGCAAAAGATGACTGATGTCATCACTGTCAACCGTGGAAGCCGTATGGCTACCCATTTACGCTGGAGTACGAAAAACATTATCTCACGGTCTACGGATAACATAGTAAATATTGGGGCACACAGGAGATACCGGCAGCGTCGGCTTCCAATGTAGACCTACGTGTGTAGCATTAGGATTTAGTACCTGGGGCAGAGGATTCGGTTGGGCCTACATACAATAATCGGCACTGGAGTCGGAGAGAGTCGAAAAGGCTGCAGGCAGGCGGAGGTAAACACGGGAGTTAGAGCAAACAAAAGACACATTCGTCAGAGGCAGCACATCAGTTTGAAATTATTATTGTAATATAATTCTTGTTATATTACAATATACATACACTAAAGGTAGGGGAAGCCGGGGGAAGCCCGGCATAGTAAGCTCTTTTTCATTTTTATTACATACCATACGTGCTGTATAAAATGTTGATATCCTGCTAGCTAGCTAAGTTCATTGGCCGTGTTTTCCCAAAAATTCGGTTTCGTGGAATAAGTGTAAGGTTGAGAAAATCGAGTTTTAAAAAAGTGCTGATTTTTCTGGGGTAAGCCCGGCATAGGGGTAACGCCGGCCACCTCCCCAGCGCTTTACAACGAGTTGATGAAACCATTATGTGTTTTTTAAATATTAACGGAAAGTGAAATATTAAGGTACTGATTAGCTTTGGACATCTTAGAGTTTATGTCACTACTGGTATTTTAGCTAGCGTCTACTACATATACAGTACAGGTCGATGAAAATCGTGATGCAAAATTGACAAAAAATGTGTATTTCAAAATTCCTTAAAATTTATTTTTCTTTTTACCTTAATGCATCATATTGCATATCATTCGACTCGGCTGATGAAGAAGAACACAACGACACCATTTTTGAAGCTCTAGCTTCATTGTCTGTCGCGTTATCTGCAAAAACGTAGTTTGACCCTAGTTGACCTTAAGTGACATGACTGGCTTTGTCTATGATAACATGTTTATTTTCGAAATTTATCTTTGATCTAGGTGTAAACCAAACCTGCTCAGTACCTATTATCTCATGGAAAACAGTGGTTTAGTGGCATTGCTCTCGGTTGGGGGTAAGCTTGGCCACTCGCCCGGGGTTACCCCAATGTGCTAATTTTTATTTTAGAGCAGCGATATTCGAAAAAAATGTCATACTTAAGCCAGCCTGCCTCGTCACCCCTCACTACAAACACTTAAACGGTCCTTACATAACATTCGTATAAATATTAGTGCTGTATGGTATAATATTAACAGTGCAAGATATCTCACTTTTTAGCTAAAAACCCTTAAAATATCATTTTTGCGCTATAACTTTAACAATATGCAATTTTTGTCAGTCTTAACTTTTTTGCTGGCGTTACCTTAGCTGCCACGCTGAAAGGACAAACAGTTGAGCATTTTATTGTGAATAATTTAGCCGGAAACGGGGTGGCCGGGCTTCCCCGGCGCCCGGGCTTCCCCCGGCTTCCCCTATACAGGTGTATTCCCAGCCAGCAATTTCACTCCGGGCCCAAGCAGGCTAAAGTACGGCTTGCCCGAGATTTTAGTCGGGCTAAAGTCGGCTAGGGCTTGGGCTAAAGTCGGCGTATGACACAAAAACGCCGACTAAAGCCCATGCTCTGCCGGAGGTATGCCCGCTCTGCGAGCTCCGGACAACCGTAGTTAAACCCTAGTTGAGCGACGATTGGCGGTAGCCCGATGTAAGCCCGACCAAAACGTGACTGGCGTAGAAATGCGCATGCGTGAACAGCCGATCAAGCATGGCTAAACTCTGGCTTTACTGCAGTTAGCCAAAGGAGACAGCCAGCTTGATCAGCCCGCGCTCCGCCCAAGTTGAGCCTGCTTTGGATGCGCGGGCGGATGACGGGCTGAGCTGCAGCTGGCCAGACTGGGGCATAGCTGCGGCATGTCCAAGCTCAGCCCAAGTAAAAAATGCATTGTTTTTTATCTAAGTGGGAAAACCGATGCTAAGCCCAAGCTGCCCGACGTTTGCCATAGTTTAGCCCAAGCGAATTGCTGGCTGGGTTACATTTGGAAATCAGACAATATGGCCGTTGAATGACTTGATCTATTTCCGATTGTATTGTCGGTTTAAATGGAGTGCATATTAAAAAATCTGACATAAAAACGGTGAAAGATAACCAGGTCCGGCATGGATAACGCAACCTTTCAGTGTATTTACGTACCTCCTTCTCCGTAATAAGTCCACTGGTCGACTGAAAAAGAGGGTCGTTTTGTTATTACATTATAATATTGATAATATTGATAGTATATGAAGAATAATAGTATACTTATATTTAAGTTACTTGAATTTAAAAGATAAATTTAAGTTTTCAATTAATTTTGAAAGTCAATATCTGAATATGGTAAATACTCACGAAATGCATTTATAGTTATTAGGTTTACTCTAAGCTGTACTCACGAAAGCATTTTGCTAGCTAGTTATTAGTGCACTATTATTGATAGTTGTGCCTCAATTATCACGTTATATGCCAGCGGTATATCACTTGTAATGCCTTACTGGCTCGCGCCGGGAGCGCGGCTGCTGCCGTGAGGAGAGCGGTGACGAGGGGGCCAGCCGCTGCCATGGCCAGCTCTGGAGGAGGACCGCCGCTGCCGGCTGACGGAATCGTTCTGCAGCATCGTGCACGGGCCGTGCCGACAGCGGTCCTCCTCAATGCCCCGGGGGAGAGGGAGGAGACAGGGCCGCACATGGGAGAGCGTGACGGCCACTCAGCTACCGATGGTGCATACTTGAAATCAGAATTTGATTCTGGGTATGAATATCAAATGTAGATGTGTTTTGTAGGTGTAGGATTTATAACAATGTCCGGCGGAGTTCTAACTGAGTGTGTAGATAAAAAGCCATTTTGCCTGAACCAATAATTACCTATCACGTTTTTTTCGGGACCTTTCAGACGAGCTGTTAGTATCACTAATGTTAGTTGTCGGGCTTCGTCTCAGTCTTGGACTGGAATGGTAGTTTCACGTGAGAGGGTTCAGTGTTGATTAATGAATGATGTTTGGTGAAACTGTCAATCCAACCCAGGATGGGGATGACAGTCCGACCACTAACATCAGTGACACGGAATCTTTATGATTTATTCTCCTATGCAGCCGTGCCGGCGTTTTGTGAACTATATTGAACTTAATTGGTTGCTCGACTTTTATTTTTTAGAATAACGAAGCGATTCTGAATTGCTTGTTCTGTTTTTTGCATGGCGCTAATGAGAATATGCCGAACTCATTGATATACAAATGATTAGGTGTTCTTGCATGTCCTATGAAAACATTGCAAAAATGTACCTTAGGTACTATGTATAGGAGGGCTACTGAGAGTCATGTCACCGGACAAGAAGCTAAGGACTCAGTTGCTTTCCGAAGTTGCACCGACTGAGCAATTTATTTGAAATATTCAGCGATTACGAAGAGTGACATGATAGACGACATGTCCGATTTTCGACAAATGTGGCTTACGGTAAGGTAAAAAATTCAATGGTTGAAAATGAGCTGCGTCTTTTTGTACACAAGTCACAAGCTCTTCACTTGCAGCCCCTCATGTCGTATACAATGCAACTAAATACACAATACGTAAATTGCACCCATTCGTTTAAAATAACGTGCGACACGAAAGCAGGGATGCGGAGCCGAGGAATTTTCAGACGGCTCCGACTCCGGCTCCGACTCCGGAGAAAAAAAAATCGGCTCCGGCTCCGGCTCCGGGTGAAATGTCATGGCGGCTCCGGCTCCAGCTCCGGCTCCGAGTAAAATGATTCGGCTCCGGCGGCTCCGGCTCCGGCTTCTACTCAGTACATCCCCTATGCGATCAATTATGTAAATACGGGTGGAAGAAAAAAGGCGTCAGGCGATGGGATTGGTACACGTTGCTTCCGTATTTGTATAACAAGGCTATTTTGAATACCACATTTTTTTACGCCTTGTACTGTCAAACCGAACTAGGTAAATATTTTTTCCTCTTAAAAAAGGGAGTCGGAGTCGCCCCCTTTTTGACGGTTTCGGCTCCGGCTCCGGCTCCGGGTTATATTGTTTCACGGCTCCGGCTCCGGCTCCGGGCAAAATATGCCGGCTCCGGGGGCTCCGGCTCCAGCTCCGGCTCCGGCTCCGCATTCCTGCACGAAAGGTTACAATTTTTCCAGTTAAACCATTTATTAGGTGGAGATATAAAAACACTTTCAATGCGTTAATACCTACATATGTATTTTTCCAATCATAGGGATCGACATTTGACTTTGACCTGACTCCAGAGGTCACCGGTTGACCGAAGACCTTAACCCGCGCACCGACGGGGGTCTGCGCCAACTTCGCACCGACGGGGGGGCGGATGACCGCCCCCCCCCCCCCTGAGATCTCGAGAACGAAGCAAGATAGCGACAAGCGGTAAACGGCATCGGATACGCACGGTCAAGATCTACAATTTTTACAAAGGTCATTTTCAGGTCAGGTCAAAGATGACGTCACAGGGGTCGAAAAAGTCAAAATGGCGGCGCTAGATATGGAGATAGTTTTTCTCGAATAACTTTCGAGTTAGTCAAGATAGGAACAAACTAAGGGCATCATCGTGATCCTCTCGTCAATCCGCATCGAATGATATATATGTTGACCTCGAAAGGTCAAGGTCAAAGGTTGACCTCAGGTCACGTGACCTCGAGGTCATCATGTATATCATTCGATGCGTCTTGACGAGCTGAACACAATGAGACCATCCACGCTTCTGTATCTTGTTCCTGTACGGAGTTATTGGCCAAAAACCTTTGGTGACCTTTGATGACGTCACATGACCTCACAGCTGCCCAACAGCAAAACAGACCTCAAGGTAGTGAAGGTTGATCGTATATGAAGTCATGTAGGGGAGAGTGGGGTGGGTTGTATCAGTTTTTACTCCGAGACCCATAACCTCGTAACTATCCGTGATAAACTCATTATTTCCATACTATCCCCTTCCTTGATTCTTCTGCTTTTTTGTGCTAAGTAACTTTTCCGCTACCTCTACCAGTTTTTCTTCTACGGTCTCCCGAATAGAACAATGTTTTTGATACAATTTGCCCCATGGCTTAGGTGAGTTGTATCACATGGTGGGGTAATTTGTATCACTATTTCACGTTTCAGGGAGTGTGCTTGCTACTGGTTTTGAACATAACAACAACATTAAATGGGGTTAATACAATGTATAGGTATGCTCAAAGGCTTCACTTTATTAGACCAAACTTAGGTCAATGCAATCCGAACGAAACATCAACAGACTAGACGCAAAAGTGGCCCGTTAAGAGCAAAGAAGCCAACACATTGTGCCGAAATGGAACGAGCATTGACTAGCTACCTACAAACGCGAGCCAGGGCTTAGCTTTTGCGATCAAAAGCAACATACCCATGCATACATACATACATACATGTTACAACATACCCCACCCGGCTCTGATACAACATGTACCTAGCCGCCATCTTGGAAAAAAACATCCTCGTGCTAAAAAACAGCGGACAGCTGGAGAAATCCGTTTTCACTCACGCAGCCTTAGAACCTACCCTCACCACCGCTACGGAGATCTTTCAAATTCGTGCACATCTAAATGCCCAGAACACACATTTTCTTGCAACTTATTTTTTTAGAATGCCATTAAAAAAACATAAAATCGGCTCTCACCTCGAGACGCGTCCACTCAGCCACAAGACAGAACAGGGAAAGATGGCGCCCGGAAAACCTCGTCGGCTGGTCGTGTCGCGAGCGCCATCCATTGGATAAGTTTGGCACAATTCGCCCTGATACAACTTGGACATGATACAACTCTCCCCGCTCTCCCCTATGGTATATGGAGCCATTCCGACCCGTTTTAGTGGTAAAAACAGGGAGTTGATTTTTCCCCCATTGACTTATAATGGGGAGGTCGCGAAATTGACCTGACCTTAGGTCACCGATATCAAAATTCCGAGATATACAAATTGTAGCTACTAATGACCTAATAACATCCTGCGACTTTCAAAGGCCTCCGACATCTACTGTAGCTCTGGCACGGTGACAAAGTTGCAAAAAAGTGACTTGAGGTTGGGTCATTCAAAGTGACCTGGTGACCTGACCTTGAAAGGTAGGAGATTCAAACTTGCACACCATGTGTAAAATTGCTGAGGGAATAGTCATACCACATTTCGCGGCGCTACGCGCCGCGGTTTTCCCGCTATTCGCGAAAAACCTCAGGGGGGCGGATATCCGCCCCCCCGTCGGTGCGCGGGTTAAAATCGGGTATCAGTCGTTGCGTCTCGTATCGGCGCAGACACTTGTTTTTTTCCGTGAGGCTCTAGCTTCTTCAGGGGTGAAACGGCGAAGGGGTCGTAACCCCCCCCCCCCCCCGTTGGCCGGCGCGTATGTATGTAGAAAACCAATAGGTCCGGCGAGATATGACTTTTTCACGGCATGACTTTTGACATGGACAACCAATGTAACATACGCAACCAATGTAACATACAAAACATAGATTAGTGACGTAAATGCGACTATAGAGATTGAGAAACATGCAATAACCTCTGGCTCATCGTCCTGCAGTGCAATGGTCTGCAACATTACGTAGGTGGCAGCATGGGCAGCATGGGTCCTTCGAACAGATGGCGCGGACATCTATGGCAGCACTGCACTGGGCCACTGCAGGCTGCAGCTGTGCCTACTGTCGCATTCGCTTACAGCTCTGAGGTCGAATGATAGGCTGTCGAGTTAGTCATGCGCTGTTTTGTTCAAGGGATATTTATAATAGCTTCATTTAACCCGCGCCCCGCTGGGGTCTGCCGAGCAACGAGCCCTGCTGGGGGGAGGCAATTTTGTCCCCCCCCCCCTAAGATCTCGAGAACCACGCAATATAGTTACAAGTGACAAACGGTGTTGGATAGCCCTACCAGGGAACTACCTTGTGACCCAATTTCATTGACCTAGATCAAACTGATGACGTCACAGGTCAGGTCAAATGTCTAATTTTCACCGTTTACAGGCATTTCAAGAAATACGTTGTAAAATCGATTAAAATGCATTTCAGTGAAAATCATCGGTGGGGAAATGCTAGTCAAACACATATTCTGCTATTTGAGGTCACTGGTACCAGGTCAGGTCACAGAGGTCAGGTCACTTGGGGTCACAATATGCAAATATCATGTGATGCATGCGTTATGGTCCATTTTACATGCCAAACACGATTATTTGGGTCAGGCAGCCTTTGAGGTCAGGTTAGATTATGTTCTGGTGAAGGTCAGGTCAAGGTCAGGTAGAGGTCAGGTCAAATTAGGTTAAATTTCAAAGTTGATATTTTTGCATAAAATGGATATCGATTCGATGCAGCTCGTCACGGGGAGTTCAATGGAGGTCTTTGCTTTGCGTTACGTGGCCTAGAATTGCTAAAAATTGAGTTCAAATATTTGTCGTCATCAATTTTGAAGATTTTTTTTCACTAGGTATAACTTGGCCAAAAAAGAGGCATCGATCTAAAATTTGGTATGTAAATAGAAGAGCGCAGGGACTTTCACATATATTCCGGTTTTTTCGAAATTCGAAAGACTTAGGATTTTTTTTTGCGTTTTTCTAAATGAATCATTTTTGTAATTTTTTAGGTTAAAATCCCCAAAATTTTGAAAATCTGGGAAACAGTATTGTAGCGCCGACTTTTTTCTACATGACGATATACAGAACTTTAAAATTACTTGGTAACTGTAGCTTTTGTGAGCGTTTAAAGATTTCATGTTTTTTGCTCGTTTTTGCTCGA